CTAATGCTGCATGACTGTTCAAGTTTCCATCCTAATTTTGTTCTATTATTAAATTGTAACATCTTTTGCAGCTTGATGAGTGGTGGGAGCAACCAGCATCGACAGTTGTTGACTGGGTAACAGTGGATGGGCAAAATGTAACTGCCTGGCATAATCATGTGAAGCAGCTTCTTGCATTTTATGACAAGGAGCTATTGTAATTAGAATTACAAAGCGCGTGGAGTAAGCAGATTTTGTGAAGTCTTGTTCATCTAACATTTCCCACTTAGCTGTCACTGTCGATAATTGTCTTCTGGGATGGAATATGACAGCTGTTGTCTATATTGATAGACGAAGATCTTAAAAAAAAAGAGTATCATCTTCATGATCTTTCACAGATACCCTCTGCCACCACTTTTTCTTTAGAAGCGTGAAGTGTGTGTCATTTTAGATTTTAGGTAGTGGGGTGGATTGTTCATTTTAATTGGCAGTGATTAATGGCATTGAATCTTATGAAGCCATTTCGGCTTCATTTGCTGCACTGGTTTGGTCTGGTTGTATACAGTTAGAACCGTTGAGGAAAAAAGAAGGTCGAGTTGAATGGATTTGCCGGGGTAGTACTTTTTCTTTTTGAAGTTCACAAGGTGGAATGGCCCACAAAACTAATGTGTCGTGTACATTAGAATGTTCAACGGTTCTGTGATTTCTTGTTTTAGGAATAGGTTAAAATTCTTTGCAGAAGAGTCCTCTGTTTAGATTTCACATTGCATGTCAACTTTTAAATTAGGTTTATTTTCCTTTTGTTTAGCTCACTTGCTTATTTCTTTACTATACTGGTAAACAATCTAACCTAGTATTTAAAAGGCTTAATTACCTACTTAGTCCCCATGTTAGGAGGTAATTTTCTGTTTAGTACCCGGTTTAAAAAATGTAGGCATTTGGTACCTATGTTTTGAAATTTGTATCAATTCAATCCTATCCGTTATATTGTAAATAATGGTGTTAAATGTTAAATGATGTGGAAGAACGTCCACTGAGCGCTTCTGGACGAGCGTCCACTGAGCGCTTCTGGACGAACGTCCACTTCTCGATGCCGAGCGTCCACTGAGCGCTTCTGGACGAGCGTCCTCTTAGTTCGCTGGACGAGCGTCCTCTTCTGCCTGACTGGGCGTTCGCTTCGCTGGACGAGCGTCCACTGAACGTACTTGCTGGACGAGCGTCCACTTCTCGCTGGGCGAGCGTTCGTTCACTTGCGTCCACAGGGCGAGCGTCCTCTTCTCGCTGGACGAGCGTGCACGCTCGTCCACGGTCGTCCACATCATTTAACATTTAACGCCGTTACTTACAATATAATGGATAGGATTGAATTGATACAAATTTCAAAACATAGGTACCAAATGCCTACATTTTTAAAACCGGGTACTAAACAGAAAATTACCTCCTAACATGGGGACTAAGTAGGTAATTAAGCCTATTTAAAATAGCAAATTTGGCAGATTTTGTTTTTATGAAAATTGTTTCATCTTATATTAGTAACATTTGACATTGAATGCGTAGTTTTGTCAAATCTAAATTGACAGAAAATAAGAGAAAAGTCTAATTCGAACATCTGGAAATAACTTTTTGCTTTGAAGAATACAATAGGGACTTGGGAGCCATTACCCATTTATTGGACGAGGCAATAGTTGTGTACTCTTTTGGATTAATTAGCACTAATATACTAAATCAGTTTATTAATGGATATTTTGTTACAATATCTTAATTTATTGATTTACATTATTCATTCGAAGAAAATGATTGTTGGAGTGATCTTATACATGTGATAATACCTTGCTAAAACTTGGTTTCACTTGAATATTTAATAACGTTTGGAGTTAAAACAATTTTTGAAATCTTATAACCTTGCATTTGGACGAAATGTTCGACAAATAATTTTACTTGCTCAAATGATAGAAAAAGTTTCAAATAACTCATTCACACCCTTTAATCTTCTATTAATGAGCAAAGGCAATTTTATAGTGTTCCACTGTAAACAAAATGAACTACTTGACCTGCTTCTACTTTTTATATATACAGTGCTATGGGTGTGCATATCGTGATCACTGTAAATTGAGCTGCCCATACAGTGGAAGTATTCCCCAATTGATCGGAAGCCAAGGAAGTACACTAATTGTGCGATCTTCGGCTTGGTTTGTGTTGTCTCCTATTGTGTCACTAAGATATACTCATTAACACTAATTTTAATGTTTTAAAATATATTAAATAGAAATGAGAGTTTTTCCTAAATTACATTAATAAAACAATCTTTTCTTTATTGGTATGGTATAATTTAGAGTTTACAGTGAGCAATTACTGAGAATCTGTTTTCGAGTTTATATTAAAAAAATTAATTTTATCATACTAGTAAATTTCGACCAGTATGTTACATTTTCAAAGTATATGTGTTTATTTTGACTGTAATAACATGAACATCAAATAAACTGAATAGAAGACAGAGTGATAAAAAAACCAACCCTTGACTTAGGTTATTTACTCTAGAGTTTTTATTTTTTCAATTTCTGCAAATGAAAACTGGATCAATATGTTGCTGCAGTGTAGAATCAAATGACCTTAATGAGATTCACTTTGTTTAAAGCTTGCCACACTCATTTTTGAAATTGAGCTAGTTTTTAATATGTTAATATGCACAATCTGAAGCGATGGTAACAACATCATAACGACTGATGCTGCACATTAATGATTTAATTCAATATTTTGTATTCCCGTCTGTTTTCATGTATATATAAAAACATATTTACATGGATGTTAACTTTGACACAACACAACCAAAGTTAAAACTAACAGCAAATAAGTGGAAGGTAATTCAAAGGTTTAGTAAAGTTATGCCTATTGATTTATCATATCTAGAACATAAATAATCATAATATTTTGTCCAAAAAAAAGATGTACTAACACCATTTTGTTTATACTCGGCTGAAAATATTTTTGTTTTAGCTTTGAACTGTGAGGTGAGAATAAGTGTCATTTCTGCAACAATTTGTTATTTTGTCTCTGTTTTATCATATGCTTATCTCCTAAATAACATAACCCATCATATTAAACTCCCTAGACCATTTATTATAATAGTAAAATACTCATGCATATCTGCATCACAAGATGCTCACACGTTGCAGCTTGGAATTCATATCCAAACAGGTAATGCTAACACAGTTTATGGTAGCTCTCAATGTGAATCCAGCAGGGTCGTGTCTTGTATATTATGCCCACAGATTCTGTGGCTACTTTCTCTGTCTCGTGAACCAACAGGGACACAACCATACCATTTCTTGTATTCTCATACAGATAAAAAAACAAACATTCAATTAAATAAAACAGTAGCTACGAGCTTCTCTTTATATAACCTTTCCACCCACCAAATTACCTCCTTTAGCTGTTTGGTGATGGGAAAACAAGCCTGCAATTACTGCATTTTAGTTGACAGTTGACTGGCTTCCGCATGATAGACATAAATAGTCTCGTCATCTGTAGGCTATAAAAATTTATTGTACTTGACTCTCTATGTAAAAGACAGCAAGAGGTAACAAAGAAAATATAGTGTGCAAGATATAGCCTTTACTTGGAAGCAGAATAACCCACTATAGCTTTTACTCTTAGACAAGAGTTTCTAAGAGAAGTAAACCCGAGAATGTCTTGGTTTCTTGTAATACTATTTCTCAGTCTCACATTTGGTACAACTCATTCTGAGGCTAGCCATAACAAGAAGCTTCCCTCTGCTGTTGTGGTTGGCACTGTTTACTGTGATACGTGCTTCCAACAGGATTTCTCCATGGGCAACCACTTCATTTCAGGTGCGTTTTCACTGCTTGAGTTAAGGTCCACAGTTTCATATCTTTAACAGTAACGGACAATGTCTAATTTTTTATATTTTTATGCTGTCTTGTGTTTTTCTATACTCTTGATGGCAGGTGCATCAGTTGCTGTAGAATGCAAAGATGGATATGAGACTACAAAGCCAAGGTTCCAGAAAGAAGTGAAGACAGATGAGCATGGGGAGTTCAAGGTAAAGTTACCTTTCTCAGTGAGCAAACATGTGAAGAGCATCAAGGGATGCACTGTGAAATTAATAAATAGCAGTGAGCCTTACTGTGCTGTGGCCTCCGCAGCAACCTCTTCCTCTTTGCGCCTCAAGTCCAGAAAGCAAGGACTACACATATTCTCAGCTGGCTTTTTCTCATTCAAGCCTCTTAAACAGCCAAATCTTTGTAACCAAAAACCAAGCAATCAAAACGCGAAAGGCCTTGATTCTGTGAAAACTATCTTCCCTCCAAAAATAGATCCATCATTTCCTCCTCCACTTCAGGACCCAAAGACACCTGGTGGTCTCCTTCCTCCCATTCCTGGATTACCTGACCTTCCACCATTACTGCCACCACTCCCTCTTTTGCCACCCGTTTTAGGAATATCAGTGTCAATACCAGTTCCTCCAAGAATTACCAATAAGTCCCCTAAGGTTCAACCTTTGGATCAGAAAATAGCTGACCCTAATACCTTCTCATTTCCTCCTAACCCATTGTTTCCACCACCTACTGTACCCAACCCATTTCAGCCACCATCTCTAAATCCTAACCCATTACAGCCACCAGAAACATCACCAATTGTTCCTAACCCATTTCCTTTCCCAACAGTACCAGGCTTAACTCCATCCCCATCACCTCCAGCTTTTCCCTTTCCTTTTCCTCCACTATTCCCTCCACCTAGCAGCCTTGACACATCCTCCACTTTTTCAAAGAATGCTTCTCCTTAACTTAATATTACCACCCATTCATAATTGTATAATAACTCCTTCTAAATGCTGAACTTACTTTCTTTATGGAAATTGTAATATGGTCATGATATGAATAGAAAAATTAACATGGGGATGGGTGTGCGGCCATGTATCGACTACTGCTCAAAAAACTGATACTATGTTTATGTATTACTAGCAATAAATTTAAGGATGTGGTCATTATAGAGATTCAATCTTGCAAATTGTTATTATTTTCTTTAAATCCTTGAGTTGTTGATGGAAACTTCGGATTATGATATACTGCAGCAACTGAGTGAGATGACTTATCTGAAGCCGTAAATGACAACGAATAGATGTCTAAAAGTGCCAATTGATTAAATAAACAAAATCTGTAACTAACATTTGATGGCTTTGAAATAAAAGCCGAGAAGTTTATTGTTAGAAAACAACAACATATAAAGCGAGTATGGCTACGGGGTCATTAATTAGTAAGACTGGTAATGGGGTTGGTAAATCGAGGTAAATAATCAAGTAACTAGGGTTTGGATATAAGATCTACGTAAACGAGCCTTGGAGGAACAAACTGCAAGCAATAATCCCATAAAAGTTTTGCTAACTCCACCTTTGGGACATAGTTAAGGTCTGGTCATACTGCAACTCTACTGAAATCGCCACTAAAATGGACGCTAGTTCTGCACTAGGATAAGATAATTTAATATCATAGATACACATGACATTCTCTTCCAAGTTGCTTTCTGCTGGTAGTGTCACCAATTGAAGGAAGTGACATCGAGCTAACTATATATTCTTGTCAATTTTGCGGCCTGCAGAAAACATTGGCTTATTGTAAATGTTAGATGTTAATTGGACATCCTCTTAAGAATTTTGCAGTAAACAGTAACATGGTTATCAAGACATCAAATATTTTATTTTTATCCATAAATTGAATCCATCACCACCAAATACCATCTATCCATGCATTTAATATTTTAATTTAAAAAATAAAGAAATATGACCCGCAAGATGAACAATAATACAATGGTGAAAGAGATTGAACAGTTCATACCCTAATTTTTCTTATCAGTTGCTGATGGTCATCTTCACTTGTATTCCGAATGACAGTGGGAAGTGACATTAAACTCTCTCTATACCAAGCACACTGTAGATTGAGACAGTAGAACAACTCTTCTTGTACACCATATGCACGATGCTCTAGGAGCTCTCCTTTATCGCTATACTTCTCTAAACTTCTCATATCCGATCCAAAAATTCCACCATCTTTGGTGATGCATATCGGGGAAAAGTCACTAGTAGGTACAACAATGAGCTTAGTCCAAGAAGACTGCACTTTGTATTCTTTCATCACCCATATTTCAGTAGTTCCACTGCCTTCGACCGAGTAACACACAGAGAGACATCCTCCCATTACCCTCAAACCACAAACTCGACATTTTTCCGTAGATAAATGATCCAAGAGAGAAATCTCTGAAAAACTCCTCTGTACCAGATCAAAGGCAAGAATGACAAGAACCTTTTTCTCCTTGGACAAAACCAACCAATGAAGGGTTTCATTGAAGAGTGACCCAGCTCTGAAAGCAAGACAATTGCCAGGATCTGAATATGGAACATTGACAAGGACACTGTTCCAGGAAGCAGTTTTGAAGGAGAAAACGTGGGTTTCAATTTCAGCAGAAAACGATGACGAGAATGGAATAATGGTAATCAAATAGTCATCTTTAGATGGGTCATACCCAAAACCATAGAGGAACTCACGGGTTATGTTATCATATTGAAAGTGTGGTAATTGTTTATGAACACCAATTGAGGGATTCCAGAGAATGAGATCATCGCTCCTCTCGTAGTACAAGAGAACAAACCCTCTGCAGGAGCCCAAAATGTGAGGCTGATTGCGAAAATCATCGAAGTGAAAAAAATCTGGAATGCGAGGGGGAGAAGGAGGGGGAAGAAGGAGATGCACAGCACGAAGCAAACACAGAGTACCCTCTCCGTGATCTATAAACGGTGCGTTTCTGTCAATGGATTGAGCATAAAAATCGTTTGATCTCATAAGGATTCGATGGGTGGGTTTGGCAGCTAGGTCGTAATGGGAAACGCCAAATTGGGTATCGGAAATGAGAGAAAGCCATGACTTGGAAACACACTTGAAACGCAAAAGGGATTTCACCGGCAATAACAGAAGAATTTCTCTGATCATTTCCAGAGGGAGAAGAGGAAGAGTGTGGTTGTTCATGTCTTGCTTTCCTCGGCGCTTTTTCTCTGATGCAATCTCTGTTTCTTTTCCCTTTTTCCTTTACTATTACAATACCTATCATTTATCATTTACACCAATTTCTTTCTCTACATCTTTTCTCACATTCTTTTATAGACATTTCCCAGACAGAAAGTGGTTAAAGACTAACATCATTGTTTTTGTTGCTTTTGGATTCTCTGTTGCTTTTCTGTGATGTATATGCTATAAGTCCAAAATTACATTGATTTTGATATTTAAAACACCAAACACCCAACACATGATTAAGATGGATAACACAACACAACAAACCAGAAAAATATCTTCAGTTGTTTTCTCATGGTTAATACACAAACTTACCAAAAGTATTCCACCTTACAACACAAAGCAAAACAAACAAGGATGAATCCATTTTCGTCTTAGTCTTGGTGTAACCCTTTGACATGCACAATGTGATCAATTAGTAGGGACATGTTGCGGTGAGAAGAGCCACCTTGTTCTATTGCTTTCCTTGCCATATCTGCATACTTTCTAGCCCTTTCCCTTCTCTCTTCTTTTTCTTGGCCTTCACCCATTACGTTCTCAATAGAATCCTTAAGATTTTCCCTAGTCACCTGAACCCGAGACTTATGTTCCTCTCCCAAATGCACAACAGATTCAGCTCCCACACTCACCCCAATCTTCAACACTTCTACGACAAGTTGCTCATTGAGGAACTGTTCAGCAAAAAGAGGAAAAGTTACCAATGGCACGCCAGCACAAATCCCTTCGAGTGTGGAATTCCATCCACAATGTGTCACGAACACTCCTATTGCTCTATGTGATAAGATCAACACTTGTGGCACCCAACCCTTGATCAAAAGCCCTCTCCCTTTCACCCTTTCTTCAAACCCATCTTCCACCAGCCATTTCTCCATCTCCTCTCTTCCATATGCACCTCTAAGCACCCAAATGAATGGCCTTTTAGTCGCTTCCAATCCTATCCCGAGCTCTATCAACTGCTCTGGTGTTGCACGGTTTAGGCTACCAAAGCAGACATAAATCACCGACCTCGGAGACCATGAATCTAGCCACTTCATGTATTCATTCTCATTACTTAAGTCTCTCCTACTTCTTAGAGACTTGTCAATATCATCCCTATTGGACAACGACACAGGGCCAACACACCATACTTTATGACCCGAAAATCTTTTATACTCTTTAACATATTCTGCTTCCAGCTCTTCGAAACTATTAACCACTATCCCATATGATTTTTCTGCAACTTCCAATACTTTCTCGCGTCGAGCATTAAACTCGTGGTCTGTGCCGGGATTGAACATCCCGGGGAGTTGAGATCTTTGCAGTTCAATTCTATGGGGAATTCCGGGGATAATAAATTTCTCTTCAGCTGACACAGCTTCATAGACTTTATCCTTTTGTAAATTGTATTTGCATAGCAGAAAGAAACAACTGGTTCCGTCAAATACTATTATTGGAACATGCAACTTGTTTGCAACTTCAGACACACACATGATATATTGGTCGGCAATTATGCAGCTTGGCAAGGGTTTTTGCTTTTCAAGTAGCTCTTGTAGTGGCTGCTGCAACAAGTCTAAGGCAGTGTTGAAGTTGTTTAGTAGATCCATAGAAGGCAAAGCGTCCGCACTCTCACATCCCTCTGGTAGTCCAGCTTCCGCACATGGAAATTTAACGTTTAGAATTTGAATGGGTGAGCCAGATTGAATCTCTTTGTCTATGCTAGCTTGGAATTGGATGGAATTGAGGGGTGTGGTCACTATGCTCACTTTCACTTGGCGTCGTGCCAACAATTTGGCCATATCTACCATGGGGAGAAGATGACCAGGCGCCATTAAGGGGATGAAAACAAAGTGGAGATGGCTAAGGGCCGTTGAATCCATTGCAGGTTTCTGTGTCCTGAAAATTGATTAGGAAATTCATGTTACTTGTTTAACACCTTAATATGAATAAAATCATGTAGATCAATATAATTAACATTTTAGTTCTCTTAAATAGTCAATAACATTCACACCATTTTCAATCTAAAAGCTTAAGATAATAAATTTGTAAATTTAGTGAAGATGAAACTTAAACATAACTTGGATTCCTGATGTTAAATACAACAACCATAAGAAGGGAGTTCCTCTGAGTTTTGGTTCGACATCTTGATTGTGCTAGTTTAGAAGTTTAATTATTAATATCTAACAAATGATTGTAAAATTACTAATTTTAGGTTAATGACACAAAGTTGATGTGAGGAAAGGATAACACCGACTTCAAACACATTTAGCCTGGCTAAGAAAAGAAAGATGCGTGGTTCAGATAAGAAAAGATAGTCCCTTATAGAGCACAAGATGTCAAGCATATACGTGCGTGGTTAAAAGTGAAATCTATATATAATCCAGTATATGCCACCTGAAAAAGAAAAGTATAGCTTCAAATGTGAGTATCAATTGAACATCGGTCTCTCTTCCAAATTCGAGGCACTAAAAGCTCTAACCCATGTGACACACAGAAACAGACCATAAGCAGCAAATAGCAAGTAAAAAAACACACCACACAGATAATTTATTAGCACGACTTTTCATAAGGAATCTGAAGGTTTCGGTGCAAAGCTGGAGAAGATGATAAGCCTGACCTGTGTGTTGGTAACAAACCTTGTGTGTCTTCTTCGTGAGGCTGATCACTTCTTTAGATCATTACCTATAAAAAACTTCTTTAGGAAAGACAACTTGACCAGTGGTGCTGTCGTGATTGAATTGGAAAACAAGCAGAAAAATATATTGAAGTAAAGACTTCCACGGTACTTTAGATGCTTTTTTCAACATAATATTTTTTAAAAATGCAAATAAAAGGACAAAGAACTCATTCAATAAGAATTTGAGAAAAAGTCTTTACAATTCAAAGAACACGAAAATTATGACTCGAAACACAATTATAAAATAAATTTTAACTATCTAGAACGTTTGTAATTTATTTTAATTTTGTAAGTTACTCTAGTGAATAGTTTTTTCTATTTTAATTTTGTATTATTTAAGTTTTTTTTAAGGTTTCTTAAGTTGTTTAAACATTTGTGTTTATATATAGGGATATCAAATACATTAGTAAACATCTTGGTTGGTCAATATATCAATTTTGAATTCAGTAAGAGAAGACTCTCTTCATTCTTGTCATAGACCTTTATTTCTTATCAAAGATAGATCCCTTTGTGGTGAATTTTCATTGTTTTTATCAATTTATTATATCGTGTTGTCTCCCTACTCTTGTTTTTATTAAAAATGGGAATATTTATGGCGAATCTTCATTGGTTGGTTAGTATATCATTTTTGAATTCAGTAAGAGAGAACTTTCTTGGTTCTTGTCATAGAACTCTTATTCTTATAAAAAATGAACTCCTTTGTGACGAATCTTCATTGATTCATTTATCTGATATATCGTGGTATCTCCCTATTTTTGTTTTTATCAAAGATGAAAATATTTGTGTCAATACCCAAAATTTCATCTATGTAGCTAAATAAGAAAATGAAGATCAAAATTTATTTTAATTTATTTAATTTTAATTTATTTTTTATTTATTTACCTTATTTTTATTAAAAAAGAAAAAAAAGAACATGGTCCAAGTAGGCAAGCATGTTTAGTAAGGTCAACAAGTTTCACGAGTTATTTGATACGTAGACCTATGTCTTTCCTTTTTTAACTTAAGTATAATGTGGTCAGTCGTGAATAGGTTTACACTGCGGTTAATTGGTGTACAAAAAGGGAAATTGCATTTGCTTGGAGTGAGGAGTAGGAAGTAGGGCGGCTAAGTTGCAGGAAGCAATCGAGTGGCAAGATGCAACCACCCTTTGACTTTGGTTTCTTTTTGCATGGCTCGAGAAGGCTGGAAAAATAAAAGGAAAAGGAAGAGATTAAGGAGTAAGAGGGAAACAACATGAAAAAAAGAGCAACTTAAAGAGTAGAGGAGGAAAAAAAAAGGTTCTTTGACTTTGAGTCTTCCATGGTGCCAATACTATTCACAATCATCCATACACACTCACTTAGGGGTCATATACTCTAAAAACACACTTCCGGAGAGCACAAACAACAAAGAGAAATGTTCAATCAAAAGAGACAAAGAAATTAGAAAAAGAAGATAAAAGATATTTGAAGAGAGGAAGTAGCAATTCTTCAAGAAAGGTAAAACCTCTAATTATTTGATAATCTTCTTGACACGTGAGATGAAGTTTGTGATGAACATTGTGATATGTTGTTATGTATTGATGTGGTATTTGGCGAATATCCTTTGTTATAGTTATTGTATGATGGGTTATGTTGTATGTTGTACTCTATGGCCAAACTCTCTCAAGACCGAGCTCCTTAGGTCGTTCTATTTCGAAGGTTAAGTTCCATGTCGTCCACATAGGCTAAACTTCAAGGTTGAGCTCCAAGCTGAGATGGGTTATGTTGTACGTTGTACCATATGGTTAAACTCTCTCAAGACCGAGCTCCTTAGGTCCATTTCTCCCGAAGGCTGAGCTTCATGTCATCCACCCAGACTGAACTTCAAGGCCGAACTCCAAGCTGAGTTGTTCCCCTAACCGAGCTCTGATAAGCCAAGCTATTTTAGGTCATCCAACTCAAGTCGAGCAATTCATGTCGAGCTCCATAGGTCGAGCGCCTAATGCCAAGCTCCATTGAGCTCAGGCTGAGCACACTAAGGTGAGCGCCCAAGGCCGACCTCCAACAAGCTGAGCTCCGGTATGCCAATCTTTACAGGCCAACACCCTAAGGTTGACCTTTATCAGGACGTCCACCTCAAATCGACCTTCTTAGGCCATTCACCTCAAGCCAACCTCTATAGACCGTCCAGTATCTAACATATTGATAAGTCAATAAAGATTCATGACAAAGAAATTAATCTTTAATAAAAATCAAAGTTTTAATCAAAGAACCAAAATAATCCTCCTTTAATGAAAAATCAAATTTTCCTATAATGATCATCCAAGGTGTCTACACCTGTATGTGGTACCTTACATATAGGCACAAATATTTAAATCACCTAAAAAATCATAAAAAAAAATCACAAAGACATCATATCCAAAAATAATTTGAAAATTAAAAATAGAAACAAATTATTTGTTTAACAAAACACATTTATGACCACTTAACATTTTATAAAATAAACAAAATAAAAAAATTATCCAGAAAATTTATAAAATTAATATAAATTACAAACAGTTTCAATTATTTAAAATTTACTTTATAATTACATTTTAAGCCATAATATTCATGTCTTCAACAAATCGTGTTAATAGTAAAACTTATCTTCAAGTTTTTCTTGTATTGAAAATCAAGAGAGGATTTTCTATTATAAAAAAAATCTAAAATAAATCTTTTCATGGAATAAAATTACTTTATCCACCAGTAAAAATTAACTTTGGGGGAACTAATATTAAAAAATTTCAGCAACAAAAAAAGTATTTAATTTTTTTAAAACGGTGCAGCCAAAATTATTTACTACAATTTGTAACCTTAGTGCCCTCATATTCAATACGTAAAATCTCTGGCAAACACTCGAAGGTTTTGAAATAAAATCCAGAAAACATTTTTCTCCTTGGACAAAACCAACCAATGAGGGGTCACATTGAAGAGTAACCCAGCTCTGACAGCAAGGCAATTGCCAGGATCTGAATATGGAACATTGACAAGAACACTGTTCCAGGAAGCAGTTTTGAAGGAGAAAACGTGGGTTTCAATTTCAGCAGAAAACGAAGACGAGAATGAAACAATTGTAATCTAGTAGTCATCTTCAGATGGGTCATACCCAAAACCATAGAGAAACTCACGGGTTATGTTATTCTATTGAAAGTGTGGTAATTGTTTATGAACACCAATTGAGGGATTCCAGAGAATGAGATCATCGCTCCTCTGGTAGTACAAGAGAACAAACCCTCTGCAGGAGCCCAAAATGTGAGGCTGATTGCGAAAATCACCGAAGTGAAAAAAATCTGGAATGCGAGGGGGAGAAGGAGGGGGAAGAAGGAGATGCACAGCACGAAGCAAACACAGAGTACCCTCTCCGTGATCTATAAACGGTGCGTTTCTGTCAATGGATTGAGCATAAAAATCGTTTGATCTCATAAGGATTCGATGGGTGGGTGTGGTAGCTAGGTCGTAATGGGAAACGCCAAATTGGGTATCGGAAATGAGAGAAAGCCATGACTTGGAAACACACTTGAAACGCAAAAGGGATTTCACCGGCAATAACAGAAGAATTTCTCTGATCACTTCCAGAGGGAGAAGAGGAAGAGTGTGGTTGTTCATGTCTTGCTTTCCTCGGCGCTTTTTCTCTGATGCAATCTATGTTTCTTTTCCCTTTTTCCTTTACTATTACAATACCTATCATTTATCATTTACACCAATTTCTTTCTCTACATCTTTTCCCACATTCTTTTATAGACATTTCCCAGACAGAAAGTGGTTAAAGACTAACATCATTGTTTTTGTTGCTTTTGGATTCTCTGTTGCTTTTCTGTGATGTATATGCTAGAAGTCCAAAATTACATTGATTTTGATATTTAAAACACCAAACACCCAACACATGATTAAGATGGATAACACAACACAACAAACCAGAAAAATATCTTCAGTTGTTTTTTCATGGTTAATACACAAACTTACCAGAAGTATTCCACCTTACAACACAAAGCAAAACAAACAAGGATGAATCCATTTTCGTCTTAGTCTTGGTGTAACCCTTTGACATGCACAATGTGATCAATTAGTAGGGACATGTTGCGGTGAGAAGAGCCACCTTGTTCTATTGCTTTCCTTGCCATATCTGCATACTTTCTAGCCCTTTCCCTTCTCTCTTCTTTTTCTTGGCCTTCACCCATTACGTTCTCAATAGAATTCTTAATATTTTCCCTCGTCACCTGAACCCGAGACTTATGTTCCTCTCCCAAATGCACAACAGATTCAGCTCCCACACTCACCCCAATCTTCAACACTTCTACGACAAGTTGCTCATTGAGGAACTGTTCAGCAAAAAGAGGAAAAGTTACCAATGGCACGCCAGCACAAATCCCTTCGAGTGTGGAATTCCATCCACAATGTGTCACGAACACTCCTATTGCTCTATGTGATAAGATCAACACTTGTGGCACCCAACCCTTGATCAAAAGCCCTCTCCCTTTCACCCTTTCTTCAAACCCATCTTCCACCAGCCATTTCTCCATCTCCTCTCTTCCATATGCACCTCTAAGCACCCAAATGAATGGCCTTTTCGTCGCTTCCAATCCTATCCCGAGCTCTATCAACTGCTCTGGTGTTGCACGGTTTAGGCTACCAAAGCAGGCAAAAATCACTGACCTCGGAGACCTTGAATCTAGCCACTTCATGTATTCATTCTCATTACTTAAGTCTCTCCTACTTCTTAGAGACTTGTCAATATCATCCCTATTGGACAACGACACAGGGCCAACACACCATACTTTATGACCCGAAAATCTTTTATACTCTTTAACATATTCTGCTTCCAGCTCTTCGAAACTATTAACCACTATCCCATATGATTTTTCTGCAACTTCCAATACTTTCTCGCGTCGAGCATTCAACTTGGGGTCTGTGCCGGGATTGAACATCCCGGGGAGTTGAGATCTTTGCAGTTCAATTCTATGGGGAATTCCAGGGATAAGAAATTTCTCTTCAGCTGACACAGCTTCATAGACTTTATCCTTTTGTAAATTGTATTTGCATAGCAGAAAGAAACAACTGGTTCCGTCAAATACTATTATTGGAACATGCAACTTGTTTGCAACTTCAGACACACAAAGGATATGTTGGTCGGCAATTATGCAGCTTGGCAAGGGTTTTTGCTTTTCAAGTAGCTCTTGTAGTGGCTGCTGCAACAAGTCTAAGGCAGTGTTGAAGTTGTTTAGTAGATCCATTGAAGGCAAAGCGTCTAGGCTCTCACATCCCTCTGGTAGACCAGCTTCCGCACATGGAAATTGGACATTTAGAATTTGAATGGGTGAGCCAGATTGAATCTCTTTGTCTATGCTAGCTTGGAATTGGATGGAATTGAGGGGTGTGGTCACTATGCTCACTTTCACTTGGCGTTGGGCCAACAATTTGGCCATGTCTACCATGGGGAGAAGATGACCAGGGGCCATTAAGGGGATGAAAACAAAGTGTAGGTGGCTAAGGGCCGTTGAATCCATTGCAGGTTTCTATGTCCTGAAAGTTGATTAGGAAATTCATGTTAATTGTTTAACGCATTAATATGAATCATGAATAAAATCATGGGGATCAATATAATTAACATTTTAGTTCTCCTAAGTAATTAGTAACATTCACACAATTTTCAATCTAAACTTAAACTTAAACTTGGATTTTGTCTAGTAAAGATGAAACTTAAACTTATAATTGGATTCCTGATGTTGAATACAATATCCATAAGAAAAGGGAGTTCCTCTTAGTTTGGTCTGACATCTTGATTGTGCTAGTTTAGAATTTTAATTATAGGTTAATGACACAAATTAAGTTGATGTGAGGAAAGGATAACACCGACTTCAAACACATTTAGCCTGGCTAAGAAAAGAAAAATGCGTGGTTCAGATAAGAAAAGTTAGTCCCTTTAAGCAAGCTTAAAGCACAAGATGGTTGAAAATGAAATCTACATATAATGCACTGCATTCCACCTGAAAAAGAAAAGTATAGCTTCAACTCATATCAGATGTAGCTATAATCAGGGTGTATGTGTGAGGATTAACTGAACATCGGCCTATCTTCCAAATTCGAGGCACTAAATGCTCTCACTCATGTGAAACACAAAAACAGACCTTAAGCAACAAATAGCAAGTAAAAAACACATCAATTAGAGAATTTTTCATAAGGAATTTGAAGGGTTCGTAAAGAGATGGAGAAGATGATAAGCCTGACCTGTGTGTGGGTAACAAACCTTGTCTGTCTTCTTTGTGAGGCTGATCACTTCTTTAGATCATTATTTAAAAAAAAAAAACTTCTTCTTTAGGAGAGACGACATGACCAGTGGTGCTGTCGTGATTGAATTGGAAACAAGCCGAAAAAAACATTGAACTAGAGACTTCCACAGTACATTCGATGCTTTTTTGTTTCATAATATTTGTAAAAGATGCTAACAAAAAGTATAGAGGATTATGAAATTTTTTGTGAAAGAACTCTTGTAATTATGATTTTTATAAAATAAATTTTAAACATTTAGAACTTCTCTAATTTATTTTAATTTTGTAAGTTTATTGAGGGAATGTTGGTTTCTATTTCGTTTTTTTTTAGTTTATTGTCTTTGGACTTTATGTAAGTTTTTTTAAACATTATAAGAGTACCATATATATTTGTAAATATTTGGTTGGTCAATGTATCAATTTTGAATTCAATCAAAAAGAATTNAAAAAAAAAAAACTTCTTCTTTAGGAGAGACGACATGACCAGTGGTGCTGTCGTGATTGAATTGGAAACAAGCCGAAAAAAACATTGAACTAGAGACTTCCACAGTACATTCGATGCTTTTTTGTTTCATAATATTTGTAAAAGATGCTAACAAAAAGTATAGAGGATTATGAAATTTTTTGTGAAAGAACTCTTGTAATTATGATTTTTATAAAATAAATTTTAAACATTTAGAACTTCTCTAATTTATTTTAATTTTGTAAGTTTATTGAGGGAATGTTGGTTTCTATTTCGTTTTTTTTTAGTTTATTGTCTTTGGACTTTATGTAAGTTTTTTTAAACATTATAAGAGTACCATATATATTTGTAAATATTTGGTTGGTCAATGTATCAATTTTGAATTCAATCAAAAAGAATTTTGATGGTTCTTATTATAGAATTTTTATTTTTATTAAATATGTGTAGTAAATTTTGATTAATTCATCAATTTGCTAGATTGTCTTCTTATTTTGATTTTTATTAAAAATGAAAATATTTTTGACAAAATTTTCATTAATTCGTCACTGTGACATTCGCATATTTATTGTTGTATTCAATAAGAAGATAATTTTCTATCATAAAAAATCTAATATAAATCTTTCCATGGAATAAAATTACTTTATCCACCAGTAAAAATTTAATTTTGAGGAAACTAATATTAAAAAACTTCAGCAATAAAAAATATTTATTTTTTTCAAAACGGTGTAGCCAAAATTATTTACTACAATTTGTAACCTCAGTGCCCTCAGATTCAATACATAAAATCTCTTGCTAACACTTGAAGATTTTGAAATAAAATCCGGAAATTCTTGTCATAAAAAATTGCATCATGTTATACATATGGTGATAGCAAAGGAGCATATTTAGTTTCCTTTAGAGCAAAACTTAAACCAAAATTCAAAATTTTCAGCATACAATTTCTTCTGAGAATGTCAGGGAGGAAAACAGACTGAAAAACTTACCATAATAATAAGATGTTTAAAGTATACGTTACCATAATTTGATAACATACTATGCTTTATACCAAGGTTGGTTGAGGAACTCCACGTTCTGAGGTTATTAATTTGTGAGATTAGAGCTGGGAGATTGTTTGTGAACTTTGTAAAACAGTATAGAAAGAACCAAATAAGTTGGCTTGAATCTGAGAACTATGTAAAAGCGCACAGGAGAAACAAATTGCAAACACCATAGCATTAAGAGCAAAAAAAGATAATCTAAAGATAGTCTGAAACACAAGTAAATTACAAAGTCTGTGATAATCCAACTTTACTGAAATCACCACCACTATTCCTGCATTAAAACTGATTTTAATGTAATATGTAAGGATTCACTTCTAAGTGCTATGTTCCTGCTAGCCGTGTCATCAGTTCAAGGTAGATGTATATTTCATGGCCTGCAGGAAACAAGAATGTGTAAATGTTACGATATTAGCTGGATATTCTCTAAGATTTTAGTAGAAAAACAATGATATAGTAAAATGTCATGCAAAATCCTGATTATCTGTACTCTTAAAAAAGTTGTTTTTCTTACATTTGATTGATTATTAAAGTTTATGAGTAAGAAGGCATCAAATATTTATCTAAGCAAAGTTCATTGAATCCACCACCATCAAACCTCATCTTCCCAAGTATCAGGTCTCATTTAATTTAAAAATCAGTAAAACACTTATCATCAGCTAGGATGGAGATTAGAGATGGTGGAAAATAAGAGAAAAAATCATTTGCCACACAGCATACATTATAGAGTTTGATATTCCATAACCAAGATGAAAAGAAAGAGTATAATGGGGAAAGGAATCGGAGAACAGTGCATACCTTGAATTTTCTTGTCTGTTACTGCTGCTCGTCTTCATTATTTGGAGACAGTAGACTCTCTCTATACACAGCAGACTGTAGATTGAAACAGAACAACTCTCCCCCTCCACCAAAATTGAGAAACTCAAGCAGCTCTCCTTTATGATTACGTTTCTCTAATCTTCCTCCAATGTTTGATCCAAAAATTTCACCATCCTTAGTGGTGCAA